GTCTATACAATTTATCAAAACAGTGCAATAGTCTTGATGATGATGATAATAATAATAWTATAATAATAACAACTTCAGCAATTTGAAATTACTCTTAAATATTCATATTTCAATTTTCTCTCATTACTTCTGCATCCATGAGATTGCCAAAGGGAACACAGTCCATTCAGTAGACACTGARTTAAACAGTGCATTTCAATATGCTGCAGCAAAGTCATTTGCTCTGTTCCATTTCTGCAGAAAGTCCAARAAGTACACCAGGTCAAGCGCAAACTGAGCAGATTCCTTCCTGCCTGCTTTTAAGAAATTTCATACCCTTGAACACTTCCTTGGCCTTTTTTATAAAAATCGTAACATTTATTCACCTAACTCTCATATGTGGACAAGCTGTATTAGTCCAAATCTTGCACAAAGCTTGCAATAACAGGAATGGGTAATTTGATAGATTTTGCCAGACCCATTCCCTGTTTCCTTTACATTGGATTGACTTCAGGGTAACTCCACAGATTTCACTGGAGCTATCCRTAGTTCAGGAAAGGAGATTTGGAATTCTGAAATTTCTGCTGCTGCAGAGAGGCCTAGAAAAAGTAMATCCCAGTTCACCCAAAAAGTGTACCCTAGAACTTCCCACTGCATGCTTCCATTGAGTCTTTCTTACCTGTTTCCACATTTTTCATTAATTAGGTATCCTAGGAAAAGACAGGACCCTGCAACTGGGCCCACTTGCACTGTTACCTTAGGGAGTCTGAAGTAGACTTGATGCACACAAAATTGAATCCCAGACCCAGCTGGGCCAACAGCAGTTTTACCACTGGTTTTTAATGCATTTCGCTTTGACCCACACTCCCCCAAATCTCCAGTGTAAGCTTCAGAGAACCACTGTGATATGCTTTTCCTGTCTTTTCACAGTACAACATGTGGATGTCAGAAAGGGAAGAGCAGATCTCAAGACCCGCAATCTGGAAGGGCAGGGCTGATCTCATGCCAGACAGTTCAGAGGGTATTAGTATGAAAGCAGACCCCAACCATCAATACTGAGAGGTTTCTTGTCCAGCCATGCCTGATACATGTTAATTAYAGCTACACACTGCAGAAAATTTCCCTTATTAATAGGGCAAGTTCCATGATGTGCTCCCTGGTAGCAGGTGACAACCTCCGAGCATTAACAGCTCAGCACACACCTACTGAATGCCTCTGGTTTTGTTGCTCTTACACATGGGCACAAATGAATGGAATTCTTTCTTCAGAGAAACAATAATCTGATCTGTTRTAACAACCAAATGGTGGCCAGAAAGGAAATTTACAGATTTTACTACTCCCAATGGAATCGTAAGGCATGGAACATATTTTTAAAATAGATTTATTCCCACTAATTTTACTTCTATACTAGCATTCCCTTGAAATGATCCAGTTTGGCTTTACTTAATCAGGGGCAGTCAGGAATGACAGGATGGGGATATTAATTAGGGGAATGCAACCTGTGCCRTTCCAAGACCTTGTCTACACCATGGGATATGGGAATGTGCTGCACTAGCTGGTGGTGATGGTGGAGCTGAAGCCCCTTCCTCCMCGCTGGGAAACCTGTGCCTGCAGGCCACTTTGTGGTTCCCTAAACCAGGGTACACGTTCCAAAGATGTGGAAAACATTATATTCTTTGTTTTGTTCTCCACTCAACTACTATTAGAATAGCAAATGTTCTTATCTCCCTGAGTGCTGTTACCCACACAGTCCCGCCAGGAGCAAGACATCAGTACAAACAGGGAGAAAGGAGTTAGAATGTATTTAGGTGAGTAATGTGTGCTCAGWCTGGCTCAGAGCTGAGTTTCATCCTTGGATACTGGAGCAGGTGGCTGATGAACCCTCTGAACCAGGCAGAGTTGATGAGACCAGAAAGCATAAACTGCTCCCATGTGTTAAAAATGGGGAGAAAGGAAGAGCCTGGGGACTATCCCCTCTGCCTGCTCCAGCAAGTAGTGTCACACAGCAACAGTTTAGATAACTGGARACTCAATTCAGAAATGCACTCCTGATTTGTACTAAAATCCTGATACAGATGCATTTGAACCATTAGTCAAACACTTCATTTTAGGAAAAAGAAAGCTGGAATTAATAATCAAAAATTTTTGATGAGTACATAAAATAAAGCAATTAATAGCAGTCAGTTAAAATTTACAGAGAATGAGTCAAACCATTGTAATGTCAACCTACAAACCCAGGCCTGTGGCTTGAAGGGGATGGATTAGATGACCTATATCATAAAATCAGTGAAATTCTCAGTAGCTTTCACATAATGAACTACAGGAATGTGGTTTCCATTAAACTATTTTAAGGTGGGGACAGATCTGGTTGCTGTAGGAATGACTACGGGAAGCTGCCTTGGGGTACACAGAGCCAGAGGCAAAGACAGCAGTTGGAAGTGTCTGGCTATGCCCCAGCTTTTGCAGAAACAAACCTTAGGTCAAATCCAACCTCTGGCTGAATTATGTCAATATTGTGCAAGAAAAGGTAAATTATAGAGGTATATAAATTAGGTATGTGAAGCAGTTATCCGTCTGCTTCACTCCCTCACAATATCCTGTTTAATTTTGAGCACCACRTTATAAGCAGCCCAGAGGTGAATAATGGTGATGATGGGAAGTCTGGAAGATTTGAACCMGGACAAAGGCTGAACTCATGGGTCTGATCCTGAAAAGGAAAAGTCTGAGCTGAGATGGGGCCTGTTTTCAAAGAGGCACATGCCTGCTGAACAAGTAATCTAATCTCCAGATCTGTTTTGGATAAAACAGGAATGAATGGACTCATATTACAGAAAAGAAGATTTAGTAAAGATTTAGAAAATCTTTGCTATCATACAGATCTCTAGATTGCCTGGACAGATTATGCAGTTAACATTACTGACAGTCTTCAGGACTGGGTGAGATATATGTCTATGAAAAAGGACAGAAGTATCTAAGCTGCTTGTTTGAGGACTGTTTCAGCCCTATGAGTGATTTGCTTTTAACATGAAGAAAAAAWAATCTGTTTTAATTATACACAGACCTGTAAAAAAAAGTCTTACAAGCTGAACCCCATCTAGTATGGCATCTATGATGTGTGCCAAATTTCCTAATGTCCTTTCTTTTCTCTGTAAATGAAAGTTGAACACAGACTGAGCTCCCTGCTAGGGATATTCTTAGACTATGAGAAGAGTACTGAACTTTATTATATAGCTGAAGTATTATTAYTAATAAATCATACAATTTTTACAGTGTGGTGAACTAAATTACAGATGGTTTGAATTTCTTCACTATGGTCAGGCATTGGAATGGGCTGTGTAGGGAGGTGGTGTAGTCAAGAAGCCACTAGATGTCACAGTCTTGAGATGCTAGAGTTCAGTCAAAGTTTGGACTCGATAATCTTGGAGGTTTTTTACAACCTTAATGAACTTGGTCTGCTGTGTGCACAGCAAACTCTGACAGAAGCAAAGTGATAAACAGGTGGGAGCTTGGATGTGGCAAAGGCTTATAATCCTAGAGTGAAAAAAAAATAAAAACAAGTGTATGGAAAGTAACCTGCAGGAAACACAGTCCTCAGTGTCCTACAGCTATTAATTTAATCTTATTTTTTTTTWAAAAGAGGCATGAAAGGTGCTTGATCTACAGAGTAGAAGAGCAAGCTCTCTAACTCTGATGGGTCTCTTTGAACACTTCAGAAAGAAGAAACAACCCCCCAGTACAACTGYTCTTCTTAATGCCTGCCAACAGATGAATATAAATGGGAATGTTTGCTTTGGCAGTGATAGATAAGGTCCTTCTGTTCCACAACATATCGTGAATAACCAGAGGACATCGGTGACCCACATGCGGTACGTTTTCACTACGGACTGACACAGGACCAAGACCATGAGTCTCCAGGAGTGATTTTTTGATGCTGTTCAACAGCCTCTATTTTCCATTTTCTAAACTATATTAAACCCCATGCAGCCTTATATCAGCAGGGTATTATACTTTACTTTGCCCAGTCAGTTTCTGTAAGACAGTTGGAATAGAAACATCGTGTGTTTTTACGCTTTAATACATTCTTAGGAGGTGGAAAAGAGAAGCAAGGAACACGCTCCAGCTCTCCTTCCCACCACAAGGCTCCGTGTGGCTGCTCTGCCCTCTGCCGGGGCTGCTCAGGCAGGAAGGGCATGACGCTGGAGAACCCCCTGGAATTTGGGGASGGAAGAAATCTCCGGAATTGTTTGTCGCGGTGCTAGGACATCGCAGCAGGTGCGGAGCGTGCTCAGCTCCCGGCGGCCGGGGCTCTGCGGGATGAGCCCACCTCCCTTACAGACACGTCCACAGGGATGGCAGCCACCTGTGATCGTCATAAAGAACTGCAGAATCACAGAATTGTCTGGGTTGGAAGTGACCTCTGGAGATCACCCTGTCCAACCCCCTGCCAAGGCAGGGTCAGCTGGAGCAGGTRACACAGGAGTGTGTCCAGGTGGGTTTGGGATGTCTCCAGAGAGACTCCACGCCCTTCCTGGGCAGCTGTTCCAGGGCTCTGCCACRCTCAGTGTACAAAAGTTCTTCCTCATGCTGAGGTGGAACTTTCTGTGTTTAGTTTATGGCCATTGCTCCTTGTCTGTCACTGGAAAGAGTCTGGCACCATCYTCTTGGCAGCCWTTGAGATTTTTAGATACACTGATGAGATSCACTCTMAGTCTTCTCCAGGCTAAAGARATACACATCGCTGAGGTCTGTCCGTCCGTCTGTCCATCCATCCGTCCATCCATCCACCCCGCTGTCAAAGCGTTACAGAKAAGGGCACGAAGACCGGGCTTTGCGGGGCACCTCGTGCCAAAAGAGAGCTTTTCACCAGCACAGGGAAGGGCGGATGGTCGCGCCCCCAACCGCCCCGAGCCCCCCCAAAACTGCTCCTCCCTCGGTGTCCCCCAGTTGTCCCCCGCCGCGCTCCCCACAGGCATGCGCGGCAGCACAGGACTACATTTCCCGGCATGTCCCGGTAGGGCGGTCCGCAGCGTGGCAGGGCGTGGCGGGAGAGGAGCGGAGCGGGACACTGACAGGGACACGGCCAAGGCCATGGATGCGGGTGAGGGGCGGCCGCAGCCGCACTTGGCCGCGCTGGTGCTAGCGCGGGGCGGCAGCAAGGGGATCCCGCTSAAGAACATCAAGCTGCTGGCGGGGGTGCCGCTGATCGGCTGGGTGCTGCGCGCCGCCATCGACGCCGGCGTCTTCCACAGGTGCGCATGCGCGGCGTCCCCCTGCCCTCCCGCTCCGGGATGGGGATACCGGGGGGCTCTGTTCGGAACGGGACTGCTGGGGGGCTCTGCTTCGGAACGGGACTGCTGGGGGGCTCTG